GTTGCTGAGGCCGAAATTGATGATGATGAGTGGGTCAAAACTTGCTTGGAACAGTTGAGTTTAATTGATGAGAAAAGATTAGAAGCAGTGTGTCATGGCCAGTTGTATCAACAAAGAATGGCAAGAGCATTCAATAAGAAGGTACGTCCACGGAAGTTTGAAGTGGGTCAGTTAGTATTGAAACGCATCCTTCTTCATCAGGCTGAAGCAAAAGGCAAGTTCTCCCCAAACTGGCAGGGGCCGTTCATCGTAGCTAGAGTGTTGTCTAATGGTGTTTTGTATTTAACAGATATAGAAGGCAAGTGTGTAGAAATGACCATCAATTCCGATGCGGTCAAGAGATATTATGTATGATTTATTTGTTTAAGTTGTATTTGTTTGTACTTGGCATATTTTGAAGATTGGAATGACGAAGGCATTTTGTTCTGCTATCTAAATACTTTATCCTTTGTTCCCCCTTTGAGCCTTGTTTATTTCTTTTCATACCCCTCTTTTGGAATCCGTAGTAATGATCAGAAACACAAGCGTGAAAGACAAATAAAGGAAAAGAGAGAAAGGAAAAGAATGAAAAGAGAAAGAACAGAAGAAAAGAAAAAAAAAAGAAAAACAAGAAGAAAAGAAGATAACAAAACAACAAAGAAGAGAAAAAGAAAGTAAAAAGAGAAAGAAAAGAAAGAGAAAATCACAACAGCAAAGCAGTTTCGATGACATGAACTACGTTCGACCTGATTCCTTTTAAGATACATAGGCAGCCTCATGGTTCGGTACCATCAAAAAAAAATTCAAAAGTCCCCAAGCAAAGAAATTGGGGCAGAATTTGTGGTTATTGCAAGAAATCGGATTCCAAAAATCGTAATTTTGAACCCATTTGAATTGTTTTGAGCCTTTGATACCCATTCTTTCTAACTCTATCCAAAAGCCCACATTGCGGTCCAAAGAAAGACCTTCCGATCAATCTTCGAGAAATGACAAGTCAAGCAAGGAGAGGTAATTCATATCAGGGGCAACACTTTGGTCCAAACAGAAAAATGTTAAAAATGAGAGAGTCTTATTGGTGAAAACCCTCACGGGCACCATAAGGCGACGGGAGCTGAGAGAAATCAAAAATGAAAGAGTCTTATTGGTGAAAACCCTTACGGGCACCGTAAGGCGAAAGTGAGTTGAGAGATGAACTAATGAGAGAGGCTTGTTGGTGAAAACCCTTTAGGACACCGCAGGCCAAACAAGGTCAAGGTTTTGGTGAAGAAATTAGGTTATGGAAACTCCGGGGCAACAAAGTATGGCAACTGAAAGTTGGTTGGTTGGACAGGCTGGGCCGATTAATCCGAAATGCATGTCATGATCATTGGTATCAGCTGCTCCACTCAGATAAGTCTCTTTTCTTTTTCCCCTTCAGATAGTCTTCCAGTTTTGGATTTTTCTTATCCTTAGCTATAAAAGTCATTGCATTTCATCTCTTTTGGGTTTATTTCTCTAAAATGTTCCCAATGTCAATTTTGTTTAAACAAATAAGAAGGAATCTCAAAGCTTACTACCAACTTCCAAAGTTGCATACAGCACGGGGTGTTTAAGGCATTGCTAAAGATAGTATGATGTGAAGTGGGATAAAAGGTCAGTAGAAGTTCCAGCGGTGAAATGGTTTGGTAATGTCGTGGGAAATGCAGAGGTTAAAACAGATGGGTCAAAGATGTAACACAACAGTTTGGGTATAGAACACTCGGGTCATCCAAAGTCATGGGGGTTTGAAAGTCAGTCGGGAAGTCAAGCGGTTCTTGGCCAGTTCAGGGGAAGTCAGTCAAAACAAAGCACGACAGCAGGGAGGCCACTTTCAGCAAAAATGCCACAAACTAACCACCACATTTTAAATTGACAAGATTTTTCTATGATTGAAACAGGGACAGAAAGTTTCGATTGTTTCGGAGAAATCCTCCATAAGGAAAGACAAGCACCAGACAGGTTTGACCGTAAACTCTCAGGACCCGCCTGGATAATGGGATTTAATTTGAAGTTTTCAGGACCCTCCTAAAAAATGGGACCTAGCTTAGAATTCAAAACAATCATGAGTAGCATAATCTAGCATAAATGCACCACAAAGGAATATAAGTTGGTTTCAAAGTTTGCAAGTTTGAGATAGGATTCAATTTGGAGTTATCGGAGCCCTCCTGAATAATGGGACTTAGCTTTAAGATTTCCGTTGGATAACAAGATTTAGCGTAAGTTCTATTGTAGGGTAGTGTAATCCAGCCGTAAAAATTGTCACCCTTAGGATAATACTTAATTTTTGACTTTCAGGACCCTCCTGGATAATGGGATTCAACTTTAATACTTTCTTAGATAACAAGATGTAGCGGAAGTAATACCTTCAGAAGATATAACTTAGATTTAAAATTGTCGTTTAATTAAGAGTTGTCGGGACCTTTCTGGATAATGGGGTGTAGTTTTAAGATCGGCTTAGATAACAAGATGTAGCGAAAGTAATACCTTTAGGAGATATAATATAGATTTAAACTGTCATTTAATTAGGAGATGTCAGGACCCTCCTGGATAACGGGATCTAGCTTTCAAATTCTTAGTAATATTTGGTAATATGATTTAGTGTAACACTCACATATGTGCCCAGCTACCAAACTGGGGCAGAAAATTTTCTTTGTTTTGTCTATTTTTGTTGAAATCAGGTACCCACTTGGAGAATAGGGAGAAGCAATTCAAGTTCAGCAATCAGGCGCCCACCTGGAGAGCACGGGAATACAATTCAAGTTCAACAAATAGGCGCCCACCTGGAGAGCACGGGAATACAATTCAAGTTCAGTAGTTAGGCGCCCACCTGGAGAGCACGGGAATACAATTCAATTTCAGCAGTCAGGAGCCCACCTGGAGAGCACGGGAATACAATTCAAGTTCAGCAGTCAAGAGCCCACCTGGAGAGCATGAGAATACAATTCAAGTTCAGCAATCAGGCGCCTACCTGGAGAGCACGGGAATACAATTCAAGTTTTGGCAATCAGGCGTCCACCTGGAGAAAGGAAATCATCTCAGATTATAATTTGAATTCAGCAATCAGGCGTCCACCTGAAGAAAAAGGAAAGTGTCTGAGATCACAACTCAACAAAGAGACTTCACCGGGAGAATACAAGTCAACAAGGCAACAATGAGAATATTTGTTATATTTTTAATTTTGTTGTTAATTAATTTCTTAATATGTGTGAAATGAGTCAAAAAAATCAATTAAAGTGAACCTAAGGGAGTATAAGATAGCTCATCCTTTCATGTTTGGTGTCTGAACATTTTACGGAGGTAAGATCTAATTCTTTTACTAAGTATTATAAATTCCTTCAATAAAATTAGCTTAAGGATGTTGATGAAAGAAAAAAATTGTCTCCTCGTTCAGAGTTATGGATGCTAAATGAAGCCAACAATACGGCTCAAGGTTGCTTCAAGGGAATACGTTAATTCTCCTAATAACTGAGACTCCCCACCCTCAATCCCATGGCTAACAGAGAGTCGAACAATATAAATACTTGAAACATTCATCGTTTCCAGCTATGCATGTCGCTATTTAGTTAGTGATTTCCTTAGTACTTCTGTAACTCCTTCTAATCTTTTTCAAGTTTTTTTTTTTTTAAAATACATTATTTTATATTTCAGTTGCTAAACATTGTTTTTACTGTGCTTAATGCTGTGAGAAATTTTATTAAAATGTTAAAAGGCATTTAATTTGCCATATTGGACTCGTGCTCAGCACGGGCATCGCATATCTATTCCATAACACAAGACACAAAAGAATATTCACACTTTTCGTAATTAGAAGATCCTAGACTACAAAGTAATTACTTAATCATTCATTTTTTTACGTAAAATTAAAGTAGGTGAACCGATAGATCATTTTCTAAAGTTTTTGAAGCCAAAAAATAATTACAATAATATTTACAAAGAAAAACTTAAAAGAATACACTTATTAGTTACTAGTGCTAAATAAACATAAAATTTATTAAAAGCTTCATTAATAGTTATTAAAAAGTTCCGAAGCTTTAAATTCGAAAATCAAAATTTGTGAAATTGCTATTTGTTTAGATTGGATGTTATTGCAAATGATTGAGAATATTCTTTCAAGTTAATCTCAATTTTGAGGAAGCTTAGTAAAAACTCGAGTTGGTTTTGGTTGGAATTTCAAATTAAAACTCGAATAAGAAGATATAAATAAATTGTATACAAATTATATATCGGGTGTACAAATGATATATAAAATATATACAACTAACATAATTGTATTCAAGTTGTATGCAAGTTGTATTTGTTTGACTGATTCTGTATAATAAAAAATTATGTACAAATTATAGTTTGATTGATTATGTATAACAACAAAGTTATACTCTATAACCAATGACGTACACATGAATTTTCATAAGCAGTGTCAATATTTAAAGAAGTGAACAAATGAATAAATTATTATAATGGCAAGCAATGTCATTTTTAACATTTATACGCAATATTTTAATTTTATTTATTATTTTTACATACAACTTCAAGCAAGATGCCTATGCCCCTGTCCATAACTATTGTATATAAATTATAAATTTTTGTCCGGATTTGTATATTTTTTATAAAATATCTAGTTATTTTTTGTTAATAGAAACCAGGCAAAATCAGCTAAATATTATCTTAATTTTGTATCTATAGAAAAAATCCTTTGTAAAAGTTACGATTTAATCCGATACATTCATCAATAATAAAGTACGGACGAGATTTGTTCGATACAAACATAGTATGCAACTTAAATATTTCTGTAATCTAAGTTATTAATGTTTTTCTTTTACTTTTTAAGAAAAAAACAATTGTACACCCTCTAAATATTAGTCCTTTGGTTTTCTTCATCCTTCCGGGGCAAGTAACGACGTCGTATTGCACAGAACAATATCGTCCGCCAGATTAAATTAGAAACGAATCTAGACCGTGTACTCATAAGGCTGCGACTCCTGAGGTATAAGAAGGTTTCATAGGAAAAAAGAAATTGCAGGAATATTAAGTGAGAAGAGAAGAAGAGAGAATGTCGGGATCAGGAGTCACTCAACAAGAAGAGGACAAAAAGCCAGCCGATCAGGCCGCTCATATCAACCTCAAAGTCAAGGGCCAGGTCTTTCTTTTTCTCCCTTTTACGTATGCTTTACATTTTCTTTTTCGTTTGGCTGCAATCACTTCGGGGGTTTTTCCGGTTTTATGCAATTGGCTACTGTTATTAAGGGTTTAAAATTTGTTTTGGGTACACTAGGTTTTGCTTTTAGGGTTTTTCTCCTCTATTTCTTTCTTTTCTTTTTCGCTTGGTCTGCCTTTATATTTTGTTGCATCTGTCTTTGATCGTTCTGGTTAACCAAATGTTAGTAATGTCTTCTCTTTTAACTCTTATTTTGCAGCAGAATATTTCTGTTCTAGTTCCAGTTAAAGCAGTACATGTAATATGTTACTCTTTCTTAGGTATATGAGCTTTACAGCTTGTTTGGATGGTTGTTCCCATTGTATCGTATTGTATTGTTATCACAAAACAATATTTATTTTGATTGTTTCATTAAAATTGGTTGTATTGTATTGTATTGTTAAATCCATTGTTTCGGAACAATGAAAAGTTCCCTTTTTTGAAACAACTGATTTGGTGTGGTGGGGTTGTTTCCCTTTTTTTTTCCAATTATGCCCTAACTTATTACTCCATAAGTCTATTTTACTTTTTACCTTTTTTTCTAATTTAACTCCAAATCTCCAACCAATAACCTACTTTGTTTTTTTCCAGAACTTCTGCCGCCAATGTTAAAGGTGTTTTGCCTCCTTCCGTTTTATTTTTTCTCCTAATTTACTTTTAACTCAATTGTAATTAGTTGTGCTCCTTTGTTTTGCCTTCTTCTGTCTAGCTCCTTTGTTCTGCTTTCTTAAGGTGTTTTCCCCTCTTCTGTTTTGTTTTTTAAAATTATTTTTATGCATAATTTTTGATAAATATAATATTTAAACAATTGAGGGTATTTTAGTAAACTTATTAGTTATAGTACAGTACGATACAGTCAAACCAAACAGCAAAATATTGTTCAACAATAACAAACAATACAATCTATCCAATCATTGTATTCAAAAACGATACAATACATTATAAAACGACGGGGAACAATGATCCAAATAGAGTGTTAGAGAAACTCTAAAAACACTGCCTTTTTGCATCTGCGAGCTTTAGAATATTATAATTATAGCTATTCTCTGGTTAAAGTATGTTTTGTACCCTAAAAGATTTGGGGTATCTAATTTGTGGTTGGTTTCTAATTTTGGAGTCACTGAGAGGGGGGGGGGTTAA